CCACTAAGACCATCTTTGGCCTATTTGACCAGACCCTCTCTCTCTCCTCTCAGCTATTCGGTCATTTTCCCCCTTGCAAGTTCTTCTTCTTCTCCGTTTCTTGTTCTGCAGTTCGGTTTCTAGCCATTTCCAGATCATTGTTCACGCCGGAACAAAGATGCAATGGGTGTTCCCACTTAAGCCAAGCACCACCATCAACCATTTCCACCTCGTGCACCACCACATGCCCGGTTTTTGTCCAAAACAGCCTTGTTTCTCTGTTTTTCTCTTTCTCGGTCGCAAACAAGATGCAGCGGAGCTTTCGCCGGAGCTCCGATCCTGGTCCGTCGACACCCAGCCATCCGACCTCGCCGTACGTCGCCGTCCGAAGAAAATTGCATAGCGTCAGATTTAATCGTTTCACCGTCCGTACGGATCACTGTTTCGCCGCCGGACCGTCGGACGCCGCGGTTGCCACCAGCACCTCGCCGGCCACCGCCCCGGCCTGTCCGTACGGTGTCCGTACGGAAATCTTGTTCCGCCGCCGTCACGGGGACCACATGCTCACGCCGTCCGCACATCGCGGCGACAGCCGCTGCCGCTGTCCCGGCCCGTTCCAGCCCCGTTCTATCTCGCCTTTTTGGGTAAGTGTTTTCCCCAAATGTCATTTAGGAGTTCGGGTATCGTAGGGCATGTTTAGGGTTTAGTTCGGGTAGTTTATGTGGCTATTTTAGGACTAAATTGAAGGCTGATTGTGTGGTTGTTGTGGGCTGAATCGGAGTCAGAGTTGGCAAGGAAATTTGCGAGGTTTAGGAGGCTCGATGATGGCTGAGGTGTTGTGGATTGATTGTGACTGAATTGTGCGATTGATTGGTAGAATTATGCCTTGAATGGTACTTTGTATGTGGTTGTGTGGCTCGTGATGGTTGGCTGGTTTGGTGTGTGTTTCGGGTTGTGTACGTGTGGTCGTATATGTCACGTGTGTGGTCGTGAGGTGTGATGGTGTGGCAGTGCGATTGCGCAATATGTTCGCGTGCCAAGAATGTGTGATAGTGCTTCGGGATCGCGTGTTATATGTGTATGATTGTGTGGTGTGCTGGCGTGGTGAGAATGTATAATTGCAAAGTGTATGTGAATTGTGAAATGTGCATGCAATGTGGAATTGTGTTTGGCCGTTCGAGTACCAGTCGTGCGTAAGTGTGGTTTGAGTGGAACGAGGATATGGAAATGTGGTTTGGTTGGAAAGGTCCGTCCTGAGGCGTGTACGTTACGCGGGACGATGCCGTCCCTGACGAGGTGACGATGCCCGGCCCGACGGGGTGTCGATGCCTGACGTGGTCAGAAGACCGTTGGCCTGATGCGTTTTACGCGGGCGCGGTAGAAGGAAAGTGTGTGTAGGATTCCGTCCTGAGGCGTGTACGTTTACGCGGGACGATGCCGTCCCTGACGAGGTGACGATGCCCGGCCCGACGGGGTGACGATGCCTGACGAGGTCAGAAGACCGTTGGCCTGATGCATTTTACGCGGGCGCGGTAGTGGTGGAAAGGTTGAGAATGAGTGGGATTTGGCAAGACAAGCGAGAGGATTGTGGAAAGTGACGCATGGTGTGAGTAGCGTGCGAGTGTGTTTGTATCGCGCGATGTGATGCTTAATTATGGGGTAGAAACTGCTAGGCACGGTATGGGACGTGCCCAAGTGGTTTCGTCTTATAATTGAGGCACGCGCGTCTGCGATTCCTTCTTGTGATGTGTTGGCTGTGTTATTGTCTAACGTGCGGGAACGTGCGTGATGGATTCCGAGGTAGGGTCGCATGTGATTGTTAGTTTGGCCGATCGTTGTGTGTTATGTGTGTTTTCGTCTGGCGGTACGTGAGTGCCTACGTGGAGTTTGGGGTTGTACACTTATTGAGATTCGTCTCACGGTTGTATAACCGCCACTTTCAGACCCCCGGCCCTAAACCCGGGAAGTGCGCCTTTTCTTTTTGGAAGTCCGGGGAGCTACTGTTGGTGCCCGGTGGAGCGCTAGGTGAGTTCCGAAATTCAAGCCGTAGATTGACGGTGACTCGGAGGAGGGCGATCCTTAGGTTTTTCCCTAGGGTGTTTTAGGGGTTGTATAACTTGGGTTATTCAATAGTGAAGTTAAGATAACCAAACCCCTGAACTTTTGTTTAAACGGTGACTGAGGATGTTAGTCTGTATTTATGTCTGTAATATGATGTTTGTATATTTGGTGTTGTATGAATATGTGGTTGCTGGACTGTTCTGTTGTTCTACCCCGTTGTCGTCATTATTTGTCCGGGGTTTTGTTATTCGCTTCCGCATGTGGCTCTGATGTTTGGGTTGGGTCGGCGACGTTCCTGGGACGTTGCAATATTTCGACCGGAGCAGGGGATGTCGCGAGCTCGTTGGGGTTCGGGGCGTGACACCTTAAAGGTTATATCCTCTGAATATTTTTCTAACGTTTATGGATAGTTTTGTCATCATAAAAAAGGGGGAGAATGTTGAGCAAAATCCCTAATTAGTTTTGACGAATGACAAAACAATATTTTACTAATCAGAATTACACTTAAGTTATTTGATGCAGATAAATGCTGAGTTATCAGACTTAGTCAATGAAAGGACTTTGTCATCAGACTCAAAATTACTGGTCAGATTCAATAAATGTTATTTTTGGCAAGTTTATGCAGAATAATCAAATTGATATCTCAAGATATCCTGATTGGCAATCACATACGAAGAACTACACTTATGGAAACCTTGATTTGATTGTATGAGTGATCAAATCACCTGGAGATAATGGTTTTTCTTCTAACGGCTATGCATTTTCTTTTGGGAAGTTTTCTCCAACAGTTTGATTTGGAGATCAATCCTTTGAAGATTATCCAACGGATAGATTGGAAATGGAGGAGTATAAAAGGAGTGCAAACGTCGTACAAGATAGAATAACCAAAATTGAGAATTCCAAAGTTTGAATAGAGTTTCGATCTTACATACTTGTGATTACTGTATTCCACGTTATGACTTTAGAAAGAAAATTACTTGAGTAAAGAGTGTACGTAATAGTGCAGTCTATCATCTGAGAAGCACTGCTCTTGTAATCTTCTGGTGATTCAATAGTGAAATACAGCCAACAGGCTACCAACGTAGAGAGTGGACGTAGGCTTGATAAAGCCGAACCACTATAAAGATCTGTGTGCAGTATTCCCTATCCCTAAACTTTCATTTATTATTACTAACATTATACTGCATACATATCTGTCAAACAAGTTCATCAGAACATCATCTTAGTCATCAGACACAATCATCTGACGACAACTTATATACAAGTTTGTCATACGCATCCATCTGATATTGATCATATGAGTTGTTGACCTCGACTATATTCATTCCGCACGTTTAAATCATACAATTTGATAAAATTACCTATTCACCCCCCTCTAGGTGATAGCACTAGCCGTAACAGATTGTATACCTCGAAGCCTGGGAAAAACTTGCCTTTGGTCGAAAAATCCATAATCAAATCACAAGGGGTAAGGATGCTTTTCCAAAAAATACAAGTATCATGCTGGTCATAAGTAGAGTTAGGCTCAAGAACATTGACACAAACTCTGTAGAAGACAAAGTTCCTCGATGAAAGCAAAACTTGAAGGAAACCTTCAAAGAGAGAAGTTTCTATCGAGGGATAATAAAGAGGATGGCAGAGTCTCTACAGACCGAAATCTCTTTCAATAGGAGGATGGTTGGCTTCAGACCAATGAATAGGAGGTACTCCTACATCGAAGAAAAGATTAAGAAAGCATACCCGTAGCCACCCATGCACCAGCCATAAGGGACCAAAGAAAGGATCATGATGTGTATTAGAAAGAGAAGTCTGAGCATCTGTAAGGGATCGATAAAGTATAGCAAGAACAATTCGACGCAGACCCACATCAAGGCCATGAGAGAGCATGCGAGCAATATCGAGGAATTCCAAAGAAACCGACAGGGTTGGTGTGCAAAATATGTACCGTGAGAGCCAACATAGAAGGAATGCTACGTGCTCATTAGAATGGATTTCTCCTTCAGATTTAGCAAATTGGTTCATAAATTCATCGTAAGGAAGGTCAAGAGAGGTTGAATTTTGAAAAGGCAAGCACTCAAGAGCTTCTTGACTTCTGAATTCAACGAAAGGAGAAAGACCCGATAGAGTCCAAACATTCAAGAGAGTGATGGTTACCGGATCACAAGGAAGGAAAAAATAATGTGAAGAAGACGACCAGAAATTACAAAGGCTACCAATAAGGTCATACTCCATTGGATCGATGGACATGCAACAGAATTTCAAGGCCTTGTCAATTCTAGCCGATTGCCACTGGGGTTTCATCACACTCTGCAGGTGTTGATACTATTGGAAGAATCTCCTGTCGAAACTGGGATAGGAGTTAAATTGGAGAGCCTCCATTTCAGAGAGAGAGAGTGTGCACGCGCGCATGCGGAATGAATTCGTGTGGCAAGTGTTGATCAGGGAGAGAGAGGATGGTGGGGTTGGTTGCTTTGCAAGATACAGTGGCTGCAACGGAGGGAGGGAGGGAGAAGGGGGTTATAACGTTGGAGGTGGCTAAAAGAAATTTAAATTTGTCAAATGGGTGTTTTTTTTTCTTTTCTTATTTTTGGAATTATTACTTTTGGTAAATCCCATGTCATTAATGAATGCTAATATACTTAATTTTTTAAACTCCTTATAATTAAAGCAATTTAATCAGAATCCTGCCAATTTTCTGAGCATCAATATGTAAATTTTTTTTATGACATTGAATAACATATGCATGAAATTTATCTTATTGCAAATAAAAGACGTTGCCTAGGTCCTTACCAAAAAAAAAAAAAGACGTTGCCTAGGTGCTCTTATGTAGAAAGATTTCGTAACTACTAATACATTAATGAGGCTACGATGATAAGCTCATCAACCTCATACTTTTGGGTCGCGATTTATGCATGGTAATTATGGCTCAAATCAAACATTTAAGGATAGAGATATGAGACCTTATGGTAATGCCTCAGTTGCGCTGGTCGGCCCTCCCTACCATTTTGCAGATAGAAAAAATCAATAAGTATAATCTCAATGTTGGCATAGTCGGTTGAGATGTTAGGGGATTTCCAGTTTAAGAATTGGAGGTCATCTGTTTGAATCCCACCAAACATGTGCAAAACATTCTAAATTATGACCATTTGCACCGGTCAAAGGCCTAAGTTTAATCAGCTCACCTCTCTTCGAGTAGTCGACATCTCCATGCCCATGCCCCTAAATTATACATACCAATATCAAGTGGGACTTTCTTATTTTAAGATAGTGTGGCCAATTAGCTCATAAATTGATCATTTTCCTAAAAAGATTAGAGGGATCAAACTTTCCACCTCACGCATACACAAAAATATATTGAATCACTGTATCATAAACCTAGCAGCTAGATGAGCAAAGAGAATATTAAACCATTACGTACGCAATGTAAATGTTAATAATATGCTACACATGCATCGTTTTACTCATTTCCTAATAATTTAAGCTTTTATAAATACTATTTTATCTAACATGATACCAAAGAACAAATCGAGAGTTCAAATTCCGGCACTCTCTCTCAATTTTTCCCAACTTGTTATTATGTCTATTTTCCTTTTTCCCGGTTATTTGTTTGACGTGACTCCATCAATATCATACATTGCACGTATAAAGCACCACTTTCACTCGAGGGAGAGTTTCATTTTACCCATTTCATGTCGGTTTAAAATCTTTATTTTGTCTAACATTAAACGTGTCTAAATAAAGAGGGAATTTCATTCTCTTACTTTCTTCTTTTCTTCTTTTGAGACAACGTGATTTGTCTCCTTCTTGGTGTTCGTGATTTAGAGTACAAGGAGCAGCTTTTTTTTTTTTTGGTTATTACTCACATGATTAAAGATTCCTTTGTTTACCCTGCCAACTCTTTAGCTTCAAATCCCACTTAATTTAAAACTAGTTTCTTCATTCATTTTCTCATTCGTGCCTTTCGTTCTTGCACCGAAGATGAGCATATAATTGTGGCTTTTCTAAGGATGCTTCTATCTAGCCATATTCCTATTTTCTTTTTGTAAGAATGTTGTCGTCAGGAGTTGGTTTTTGTAAATGCAGTTTTTAAAGTTTGTATGATTGTATAATTGAGAAATGATTCTTAGGAGCTAATTTGAGGTGTTGATTCTCTAAAACCAATAATTGAACTAATTACATATAGGGAAGAGGTAATTATTTGACGACTTGAGCTGGGCATTGAGGTTAGGTCTAAACGTTTTTGCCCAAGCGCGCTTATCATAAAATTTTTTGTGCACGAACTTTTGAGGTACGATTTGGGCTTGGCTCAGGCTCAATTGATCTCAACGGGGTTTTCTCACTAGATGCCTTTGCCTAGACCACCAAGAACCTCCAGGTGATTGTGGCTTTGTCCGATCCTGGGCAAAATTGTAGACTGCCGGTTCCATGATCAGGTCTATTAAAAACTATAACATTACTTGATAAATCATTAAGTAGAGAAATATTAGTATATTGCTCAAAACTATTTATACTCGTTTTATCTTTATTTAAAATTGTCTTATTGTGAAACATATTAAGAATTAATTAATGATAATAAATTGTTAAAATATTATGAAAAAAATTGTACATTTATATGTGAAAAGAAATAAAGGTTTCAAGATTTGAAATTTTTTTTTGGTGTGATTGTTTATAACATAAAAATATTCAAATTTTGAAACTTAAATACATGCCAGAAAAATTAAAATTATTAATATGCGCAATCGGTCATTGATAAAATATTTATAAAATAACCAATCAAGTATATTTTAAAAAGAAAAAGAAAAGAGATTATGATCTCTTAAAACTAGGAGATCTTCTTTGCTTTAGATGACATATAAATTATGAAAAGACTTCTATTTTCCTTTCTTTTTCTTATGTTTTCCTTTTTTCTGTATAATTTCCTTCCGTACTCTCTCATAAAACTATTTTAAAGTTAATTCGAACGATGTACAACACTACTGTAATTTTAGTTCATAAAATTCACTTCTATTTAGAATTCTAATGTATCACATATCGTCTTGAGATAGACGCTTTCCATCTTGTGCTTAGTCCAAATTCTATCAATTTTTTCCTTTCATTTTCTTTTGCTTTTAATAGTTACGATGTATAATTCAAAATCGTTAGTTTTATGTTTGTTAGATTTAAGGGTAACAGCATTGCGATGCAAGAAAAATTTTTCGGGCCTAATATAAGGCGGCACCTAATTTCATTCTTTTTATCAAATAAAGTCATGATATTGAGTTTTTGAGTCACTAACCCAATCCCCACTCGATAAATTGCCACAAAAATACTTTTTGTGGTGCATATATATCATTATTTTGCCTACAACTTATTGTATGGTATAGAAATTTTCGGTTATTGTCTTTTCATTTTACATCGAGCAGCGTTTTACTTTATATGGACGGAAACACTTTTAAAAAGAACTCGATTCAGACTATAGTTGCTTTTGGAAATACATTGCAATTAAGGATACTTTTCGGACATTTTTTTCAAATTTTCTTGTATTATTAAACGGTCGGCCTAATTGGTCAGGTCATAACGAGATTTTAAATTTAAAACTGGAGGTCACTTGATTTAATCTTATCAACTTACAAGTGTTTCATAGTATCATGATTAAGTGACATTACAAATAGAATCACCATTTCGTTACATAAATAGCTGGAAAAATTTTCCCTAAATAAATCAATAATAAAATTAGGACTTCTTTATGACTAGAAATAGCTAAATCCTTGGTCAAGTTACCTCTGACTTAATAATCATGTAAAAAGTGAGCCAAAATTAGAATGCATGACATAATAATGGCAAAAAACATATTTTATTGCGACCCTTTGCAATGTGGGTCTTTATTCTTATCAAATGTTTTTTTCTTGAAAAATAACTTAGAAAGTTCCACGCTATTCTTCAAAACAGCCAAATAAAGAAAGCTCCCATCACGTTCAAGGTGGATCCGTTTCTTCAATTAATATTGATCGGAGGGACTCAACTAATCACATTTATTTGCGACTTAGTCATTCAATAAGGCAAGATACCATGGTCATTAAAAAACAACTTGAGTCTAAGACAAGGGGGTACTGAAAGGGGCCTACGAGCTAGCCAATGGGCTAAGTCAAACTCACACAAATCGAAAAACTAGTTGCGTCAATGTGTGTTTATATTCTAATAAAGACTTGGAATCACTATACTAGTTGAAATCAATATACTAGTTGGAGCAAGACTTGGAATCACTACAGAAAGCATCACGGCTAGGGAACTTTAATAAAGACTATAGGGAAAAAGGCTACTAGCTATCTTCTCATTCTTCTCCTTTAATGTCGGTGGGCAAGTACACTAGGGTAGGAATGCTCTTTTATCAAGTATGTGGATTACTTGGCCGAGTGCCTATTTAGTTCGGCCAACTCCTCATGAGGTAACTCCAAGATTTCCATGGTAACAGAGCCCTGACCAATTCGAAACAAAAATAAATAGGAACATAGATCCATTAAAAGGAACCCGTGGACCATATTTTTATCCAATCTGTGTTTTGCTAACGTCTCAAATGAATTCAAGGATATACTCGTAGAAATTTCGACCATCATTAGCTCATTACTTCAGTTTAGTTGATATAATGAAAGATCAATTCACCTTTTTAGGTGGAACTTTACGCGGTTCTCAGAAAAAAGATAGTGAAAAAAATAGGAGAGTGAAGAGAAGCTGTGTGGTAGATGTCCATGCGCAAAAGCATCAAACCTCTCTTGTTGGGAAGAATCGATACACATCGAAATGGTACCGGTTGTACTTAGTAATAAAAGGATTTGGCAGAAATATGTACAATTGTCCCTCCTACAAAAATTATTCCAAAATAAATGGACAATAGTTAGGAGAGAAGCGCCACCGGCGAGCAAAAGCAAAGTTATTAGATACCTAAAGAAAGCCCAGCAAGAACCACACGTGCAAGTTCCATAGAGGGTAATTAATGATGACAGTCGTAGTGAAGATGACATGGTTGGCCAACATTAGCCTTATAATTAATATATGAAATGTTAGATAGGTGATAGGAGGGAGCAAAGGATATATTTTGATAGTCAATGATTATGAAATGAACAATCTTATAAAATGACCATGATTCGTCATTATCAAACATTTTAGCATACATCAAACTTCCTAATGATGAGGGATGTCACCAAACAACTCCCATTAATTGCATTAAGTTTCGCAAACGGCGGATTTTACTGCTACTTGACCTTGACCCAACTAATGATCCTCTTCAGTTAAAGGAGTAAAAAGAAAATTGGGTGACTTAGGCTCTGTTTGTTTCGCTGAAAATGAATAATTTGAAAATATTTTTCAAATTATGATTTCTTGAAATAATTAGCTAATGAATAATAATTTTTATCATCAATAAAAATTTATGTATAAACAATTTCGTGGACAATGAAAATAGTTTTCGTTCATTCATTTTTCGCGAAACAAACGCACCCTTAATTGAAAAAATCTCCGGCCTAAGCAGACCAACTTCAATGAAGTGAATCCACCCACGAATCCATGTAAAATCAAAAATATTTTGCGTCTTTCGTTTTTGGTTAAAATAAGAAAAGCATCATATTTATTCAAACCGATTTCTAAAACTATCAGTCTGACTTTGAGTGGCCTTTTAGACGATTATAATCAAGAATCGACAATAATCTAACACATTGCTCCGTGCAATAATTTGCAAACCAGTCTTCACAAGGACAAGCCAGACCCTAAAGATCCTCTTTGAAAAAAGCTGAGTCAAAGAACTCGGCCGACATTGTCCTTTGTTTTGGCCCGGAGAAGCAATTGTCCTTTGCTGTTGAGCTCTATACAAAGTTTTTGGCCAACAGAAAAGTCTATACATTAGGGAAGATGGAATCGTGTTCATGTGAAAGATTGTTAATGTTCGGTAGGCTGGGTAATATTATGCCTTACCAACAAAGCAACAAGACTGAGTGATAACGTTTAGCAAAGAAACGTTTTTAACACATAAAAGTTAGGAACATGTCCTGTTTTGTTTCTAAAGAAAGACTGAGTGCTAACGTGGCCTGAAAAGATAACAAGGGGTGACATTGACGCTGGTGCTATAAATCAACGGGGTATGGCCAAAAAGGTCACGAATGTGCTAAGTCGAGACAAATGCATTCACCAATCCTTCAGAAGAGGACGTAGTCGCTGTTGTTTGTTGACTTGTCGCTACAGTTATGGTCTCACGTGAAGTGGGCTCTTTTGATCTTTCCTTCATGTGGAGTATCAGTAATCAACGTGCTCCGCGAGGAACAAAAGATTAATGTTGATCTCGAGCGCATTTATTTTCCGAAAAATGATTTTTTTTAAAAACATTTTATTAAAAATGCTCGTTTGCATCTTTTGCAAAGATGAATCAATTAAAAATATTTTTATCGTTTACGAAAAGATTTAGATATAAATTGTTATCGATAATGAAAATATTTTTCTTATTAACTAATTATTTTGAGTGATGGAAGCGATTATTTTTAGGAAAATATTTTTAAAATCATTTAATTTTCGCGAATCAAACAAAACTTTTGTGTTTTCTGCTTTTTTTAATTTCAACTGCTATTGTTTCGTCACACGTTGACATGGAGAAGGGTCTTTTCACTTGCGGTAGCCCAAGCACCTCGAACCACGGTGAACACCAACAATGTTGTTCACGCACTTCGGTAAAATAAGTATTACAAGAACGTTTAGCATTGGAATATTTGCTTTCG